TCTCTCTCTCTCCCAGGCACTCGAGCAAGGCCCACCTAAATCTAAATTCTCTTTGGGAGCAAAACCAGACCTGTAAACTCCCGAAAGTTCCAAAGGAGCAAGCTTCAATGACTGTGGGTATTCGCCATGAAGTTTCTCAACACGCTCGATGTTGAGCGCACCGACCCGAGTATATGCGTTATGGCTTATGGAAGTTCACAATTGCTGTTAGTACATGGCATGCAGTGTGGACTTAAAACAACACATTTCACCGTTCGACCAAAGTCTTGGACGCGAAAGGCGTGCGTACCAAATCTGAATTTTTACATACCCGGCATACACCAAGGCCAAACTGCTTGAACTAACAAGCACCTGGACGACGAAACGATGCCTTTGGATCGAAGGCTCGATTCCAAACATGCTGAACTGGGGTTCTCTCCCGAAGTCTTGTAAGTCAGATCCACCTAGACAGGCTTGCTACAAATGCTTCAAAGTGCATGGTCTGATTCTCTCTTCTTGCACACCGCCAAAGAGCAGTGCACGCGCACCACTCCCGCACACGTGCGCGCCCTGGTCTCTCGAAGATCGGTGGGACTGCTGTCCGAGATGAGGTGCGGATTGGAACACTTGCTGACCTCGGCACCCTTGAACTTTAGGCTAAATCCCCGCCTCGCACCTCATCTCATTCTCGCTCTCTCTCTCTCTCTCTCTCTCTCTCTCTTTCTTTCGGAAGGGATGAAGGCAAGGGGAAATCCCCTTGCCCGCGCGCCTGTCGGCGCCCCCAACCGGTGTGGAGGCGAAAAGGGAAAACGCAGGCTCAATCAAGGCAATATTTGCCTATGTTAGGCTCTGCGCTACCGATCTCCAAGAGGCAAACTTACTATACACGGAAATGGTACACTAGCCTCCTCGGAGTGTCCCCCGGACTCGGACAGCTCGGCACTACCATCAACAACAGACTAACAGGAGGACCAGCAGTAACGTTGTAGGCATGAGAAGGGCTAGGCAAACACATGCTACGGTTTCTTGATTCGCTGCCTTCCGGGTTCAGAAATGAAAAGTTTGGTACGTTGGTGCATGGCAACTTATGGAATCGTCCTAAAAATACATCGCAGACATAGGACAACGGAAAGTACCCCTAGTTCAGGTGGCACCACGCATCCGACAGCGTCACTTCGTGGGTGTACCCCCGTATTGGAAGCAAAGGAACTGAAGCCAACGGGGAATGACCCCCCGAACCTGAACCCCAGAGAACCTACCGAAGACAAGAAAACCTGAACTTCCAAAGCGGTGGTATTCTCAGAGTGACATCATTGATGTAAGAGGTTCCTTCACCCCTCTTGCGTGCACTGGTAGATGGGACAAAGTCAACCCATAGAGGCCTAGGATACCAGGTGTGCAAAGCGAGAGGGGCTCGGGAAGAAATGCTATTCTTTGTACACTCGCCTCAGCTGTCTTCAGAATCACTTTCACTAGTGCCTTCCAGCGCTGCTTGTAGTCGTCGGCGGCGATGTGATGGCGCTCGTTTCAGTACCGGATCGGCGACCGGGGCTGCTGCTTCGAAGGGCACCGTCTCGGCTTCACTTGGCGCAGGGGCTTCTTCCCCTGTTTCCAGTTGCGTAACTTCCAGGTCGTTCTGTGGTTCCACCAACTGAATAGGGTGACCCCACAGGGCCTGGGTCCATTGCTCCAAGTGAGCATGCGCTTCTGCCAGGTTGATCGCCATCTCATGCTCGGCAAATGGAAGTAGCTTGCGTATGATTTCTTGTGCTCTGATCACCGCATAGGGGGTGGCTTCCCCTACTTGTCCGCGCTGCACTGGTACTTCACGATGTTCCGGATCATGTACTTGTGGGGCTCGTCGAGGCTCTCGATGTTCAGGGTCGTGTAAAGGTAGCGCTCGTCGAGGTTGCCGCGGTCGGGGAGGTTCCCCGGTATGTCCATGGTGCTCCTCCTCGTGGAACTGGGTGTAGCTTGGCAGGTGGTTGCTGCCCGATGGTCTTTCAGCTACTCGTTGACGCTTAGGATCCGGCAGGGCGGTTTCTCCCATCGCTCTCATCATCTCCGTTCTGGCCCATGCCACGAACTTCTGCACGTATTCCATACTCCTTTGGAGCGCTTGGTGTGCCATCGGCAGGGTCTCCCCTGTCTGGTGGACTCCACCCTCTTCGAGCGCTAGGTGGGCCCATTCTAGCGCGTCGAGTGCATTGCGTAGTCCAGCGATTCCCTCAAGGACTCCAGGAGCTTCTGGTTCCCGTTCCCAGCTTTTGAGGTTGAGCTTGGCACTCTGTAAGATGTCCTGGATGTGGGAGAGTTCCTTGTTGGACACCCTTCGGGGGAGCTCCCCGTGTTGCAATATCAGATGTTCCAAAGCTGCCATTGCCTCGAGGAGCGGAGTCATGATCGCCAGTTCGAAAGCAGTGGGGTCCAAGTTGTCCGTGGATGGTCTCCCCGATTGCCTTCTTGTTTGGCATAGGCGATTGTGGTCGTTGGCTGTCTTTTGAAGTTCATGTGCATAGTAGCATGCTCTGTATGCCAGCGTGGTTACTGCTTCGCTTGGCTGTGAGAAGGACTTGTGGAGGAGCTCGTGGAGGACCTTGACGATCACGTGCATGATCTCGGCGGCTGTCTTCGGGGCTTGTGGCGGGGACCAAGTAAATTCTGCTTCTCCATCAGTTTCCCGATCCTGGTCTGTAGGCGGTCCGCAAGGCGTCGATTCTGGTTTTGGGGGCTGGCTGCGCTCCCCTGGTAGTCTTTGCATGAGGGACGTAGTGTCTGATGGTGGTTGTGGTTGATGTGGTGCTTGGTCATCGTCTTTATCGTCGTCTTTCGGGTCCTCGCTCGGCCAGCTGGTTTCTGATTCCGATCCGGAGCTCGGCTTGGGCGGAGGTGGTGGCTTGGTTTTGGGTATGGCCTTCACGGAGGGCTTCGAAATTCGGCTCCCATCTGCCTGCACGGGGATGGCTGATTGTTGGGCATGTCGTTGAGGGCGTTGAGGTGGTTCTTGAACAGGTGGATGGGCTTGTGCTTTTGGCGGTGGTTGTGCTTGACGTTGTTGGTGTTGAGGAGCTTGGGCACGATGTTGATCTGGCCGCGCTTGGGTTGTAGTCGAAGCAGAGGCGGTCGCAGGGGTTCCCCCCTTGGAAAGGTGTGGTGCCCCCGTTGCGTTCCTTCTCTCCGGCGGTGTGGGCGGTCTTGGGCGCTCAGGGGAAGGTATGATGGAATAGCCTCCCAGTCTTTAGATGTCTTGTTGGAAGCGAGGCCTTCGAACCCATTCCTGTTGCTTGCCTTGCCACTCGAGGAAAAAACTTTGTCCTCTCGCTAGGGGCAACTCCCCTTCCGCTGCTGTGGGTGAAGCTTCAACGATGACCAGCCAAAATCTCGGTGTTCTTGCAAAGCTGAGCTCAAAGCGGGTAGAAGCAATCCACGGTCCCAGAGAGGATGACCCCGGGGGTAAGAGTGGGCCCCGATCTCCATGGAGTGCTGAATGTTTTATATGCCACCACTGACGGTTCTTGCCTGACACGAGGAGGGTGTCTTACCACACTGTCTCGCTGGGGGTCCACAGGACCCCCCGCCAGGCTCCTGCTGCGCTTCCTCTTGCACTGAAGATCACGTTGGGCGCAATTGGGATGGTAGGCGGAAGCGTAGGGGGCCCAGCCCCTTGTTGCCACGAAAGGTCAAAGGTGACGTCTCCCACTCTGAGCGTTGATCGCATGCTATTTCGGTCTTCTTCTACCTGCCATGGCGGGGCTCTGCCTGATCTGATGGCTTGGTCTGCTTCGTCCTCCAGATCGTCAATGTCCGGCACCGGGTTGGCCGCATTGTCATGTGGTGACGACGAAGAGGCAGAGGTGATATGGTCCGGTTGCACGAACAAAGTGTCACCCTCGCTGCTGGTAGCTGTAGTGAAAGCGCTAGATTGAGCTGAGGGGGTATCCCCCTGTTCTTGACGAAGATATCCTGGTCTGTTGTCGACAATGTGTACTGGCAGCCGATCAGTGGCATTGATTTTGCGCTGTGGGGAGGTGCTATCCGACAGCTTCCTCAACATAAATTGCCTTCTCGTGGGAGCAGGAGGATCTTCTCTGTGTTCTGGAGGTAAGTCAAAGGACACTTTTTTCCCATGCACTGTTCTTCCGGCTGCTTCTTGACGACTTCCTAAGGGGGCATGCCCCTGGGCCTGCTGTGGTGGTTCATGAGGTTGTTGAGGTTGTCTTGCTGTCGACGGCCGGCGCTGTTGCGGTTGAAGATATGGGTTATTCTGTTGTCGTTGTTGATGATCTTGTCGGGCTTGGGTTTCCGCCTTGGACCCGCTAGCATCGATCTGATCTCCATGCGGCTGCTGCTGTTGATGCGGCTCGGCTTGTTGCGCTTGCTGCTGGTCCTGGGCTTGTTGAAGGCTGTTCTGTTGTTCCGAGCAGCCATGGGCTTCGGGAGGTGGTAACGTGGATGACGAAGAGGCCGAAGCTGCTTGGGGGATGATATTCCCCCGCTCATCTCTCGTGTATTGGTGCGCAGATAGTAATAGTGAAAATCTTGCTCTGTCCTCCGCTGACGATAAAGGTCTGGTGGCGGGAGGTCGCTCGGCCCGGCGAAACCATTGTAGTGCTTCACGCCAGCTCAACCAAGCGGGTTTGGGTCCCCATCCTGCTTCGTTACACAGCTTTTTGACATCCGATTTGCGCTGCTTGTTCTTTACTCTTTGGCTTCCATGGCCAGCGGGCCTTGCTGGTTTCGCCTTGGGGTTTCCCCCGGCGTTGGTTGTGGCTGTAGACTGCGGGATGTTGTCGGTTGTGTCGTCCTCCCCGGCGTCCTCGGGGTCTGTATCGCTGACATCACTAATCCAATCGTCCGGGTCCAGGTTGTTGTTGACAGTGATCCATTCCCCATCGTCCTCTCTCTCTCTCTCTCTCTCTCTTTTGCGGCAGGGTTATGGGAGGGGGAAGTTCCCCCACCCGCGCGCGCTCAGGCGCCCCCGACCGTTGCAGGGGCGTAGAGTGAGAAATGCGTGCTCGACAAAGGCCAATATTGCCGAATGACGTCGTACATGCTAAAACAAGGCAAACTGAGCAACACAGTAACATGGCAATAGTCCGGCAATACTGTGTGGGGATGCCCCCTGTTTGGATGGCTTCGGAACAGCCCTCGGACAGGCAATCCAATATGACAACCCATCTCTCTCTCTCTCTCTCTCTCTCTCTCTCCGAATTCGGGCTGTCCGACTGCATGAAGGAGTGTTACACCCGATTTGAAGCAAGAGTGTCACAGGCCGTGTCACACGGGAACATCATGCTGGAGGGCAACTCAAAGACCGTCATTCAGGCTTTCACTCTGTCCAGCCTGCAAGAACACTTCTACCACGCCTGGAAACTTGTGTGATATTGTCTGATTGTTGCCGCATATTGGGACTTCATGTCTACTCTCATCAACACAATGATCTAATTGATCTTACCCACTAGCTCAGCGTAAAAAATTTCAGGGTCCCCCATCCCATTGCCGAAGCACAGGTTGACATGCAATCCGCGCTGCTTGTGAACAGAGACGCTAGCCCCCAAAAAAGGACCCAGCTACGTACCGTGATTCAATGCAAAACCACTTCTTGCTCTCTCTTCAAAGGCATGGAAGGTTCCGGTTTTGGGCCTGAGTAGTTGTCGAAGCCCGTGGCTTGGACGACATGGTCGCCCTGGACGCTCTTGAGATCGCCCTCGGACCGATACTGGACCACTCGTTGGGTTCCGTCCAAAGCCACCCCCACCACCTTCCGCAGACCAGGGGCTTGGGAGGGGACCTAAAGGATGCAAGCTGGATCATTGTTGAAGCCTTTAAAACAAACAAACCAATTTGATCACTATGTCTTCAAGTTGTGGTCAGTTCATCTAATCCAGCTCAAGAAGGACCAAATAGACAGAAACCCTGAGGGTGGCTGCCTCGCCCTTGATCAGCACGCAGCCAAGGGTGTGCGCCACCTTCTCAGCATAGGTTCTGACCTGGTAGCTCATTGCCTGGTGGACGGAGCTCTTGTGACACTCGGCATCATCATGGAGGATGTTGGGTAGCGCATAGAAGTAGGTCTGTTGGTGAAGCTTCACGGTGTTGGCAGCTTCAGTCCAGATGCCCCCAGGTTTCTCCTCACGGGAAACCAAGACAATCCGCAGGCTGGGATCTTTCCTGGGTGCTTGTGAAGATGTAACTTTTAGCAACGTACCTAAAGTTACTATAGATGTAAATCATGCATGGAGAATCTACTCAGACAAGACCCAGTTTCTTGTGGAAGACTGCGGCCACACCCAATCCCGTGAAGCCGGAGCCGATGATCACTACGTCGAAGCGACCATGATGATGAGGCTGCGACATCAAAGTGCCTTGGAACAGGAGGACTGCGGGAGCTGGTTTCAAACCCTTGATCCTGTAACACCTGCGCTGTTTCTTGCTGAAACGGCTGCAAGAACGGCATGGTGGTGATGGAGTCAAAACTCCTCAAAATGACAGTGCTATGTTACTTTGTATCTTAAATGTAGGCTCCTCTAGGCGGACCCGGTTTCGGGACTGCTTGTCATTGCTACTTCATGGATTTGAATAGCACTTAAGCTGCCCAAGAATTCGGCAGATCCAAGAAATCGAATCAGAAAGCTGGACAGCAGAAGCTCGTCACTGCATAAGTATGACCCTCCAAAAACCAGAAGCACCCGAAATAAGGAGGTTCTCACTACTGTACGAGATGTCAGGCTCTCAACAATATTCAACAATAAAGAAGCTGCGCTTTGTGGAAACCTCAATGATAAGGTAGAGGGACGAAAGGGAGAACGAGAAGCAGCAGTCAATGTCGCCTTTAAAAAACAACTGCAAGACATGGGCTAGGCTAGAGTTCAAACATCGGCTTAGCCATGGGCAACATGTGCTTCGTTGCTTGCGCAGCCCCTATCATGACACCTGAGCTTGAACATGTTTCTTGCTGGTCTCATCTCACCTGAGTTGAAACTTTTGGGTGGCTTTGGGTACATGCTTATAAGCTACGTCATGCTCACACGTGGGCGAAATTTAGCCCGCCGCCGCGGCAACCACCAAAAGATGAACCTCATGCATCCTTCGGCACCGGCACGAACCTTTTGCGACACTTCCTGGCCGCTCGTATCATAGGTGGCTGGTGGCCTCGCGGAGTGACACTGCAGGAGGCCTGCTAAGCCTGCTGCGGCATGCTAAGACCCAGCTCACATGCCAGGATCTGTCAGCTTAACCTTCAGCGACGTAATGGGCAAGCTGGCTCGCTCGCAAGCTAAGCCGTTGTAACGGGCATGCTGGAGGCGGACCGAAAACCAGGCAACCAGCATCTTAGGATCTGGGCACATATTGCTTCAAAACCTCGTTCCAAGCGAAGGCTTTGTCTGGACACATGCCTGGAACTTGGGGCAAGCATGTGTTGGCGCGGTGATCACAGTAGCCAAAGCGCTGACACAGCATATCAAAATCTGCCTTAAAGTATCGGTATACCAGGTCTTTCGTGTCTGCATCCAGGTCGGCTGCCCAAACATTGTTGCAACCTGTTATCTGAAGAATCACATTCTGCTCGACCAGCGCTGACTGAAGGCCATTGTAAGTGAGCATCCTGTTGAGACTCTGAGGAAAATACAAGTTGTCCACTGCGATCTGAATGCCATAGGGACCCTCGAAATACTCTGCTTGAGGAATGAAGGTGCATTGGCTGGCATACTTCCCAACTGTGCCGTTCATGAGACTATGCATTAGCCACTTGAGTGCACCGTTCACGTGGCAAACCTTGTGAAAGTGGGGTGGAAATCCGCCATACTGAGAGTAGCCACCACGGAACATCGCGATAAGGCGCTCGTAGGGATTGCGCAGTATGCCAAAGACCTTCTTCCCAGAAATGTACGACTTCGCCAGATCTCCGGGCCAGTACTTCGGTGGTGTGAAGTACCTCTACTATCTTGTTGAGAAGTCAGAGCTTTAACCACACTACACCACCGAAAACGACGGCACGAACCCCCGACCTTCAGCCCGAAACATTAAAAAAACGGACCCCGCAACTCCAGGGCCGCCGTGGAACATGGGGCAGCCCGTCACTTCCGAGAGCTGTTGCAGTTCTGGTGCCACACCTCCCCAAAGCTTCGCCTCCGGGTTGTCCGCCATGGCTTGCTTCACCACGTCCTGGCTTTTGGAAGGGTTTAACGCTTAGAGGCTTAGAGCTGCTCAAGGATCTATTTATTTCAACTAGAAGGCAACGCAACTCTGCGAATTCCTTGAGATCCAGCTGGAAATGATACGTACCGGGCTCAAAAATAGAAATCAACTACAGCTTAACCCAGTCAGGGTCGACTGGGTACAATTTGAACGTAATGCTAAAATAGCATACGGGCAGCCGGCGACGGGCGAGCATGAAACCACACAGCGGAGGACCCTTCCACCTGGGCGCCCTTGTCGCCGAAAAGCCTGAGATCGCAAACATGACACCATGACGTTCTTGCCGTTGAGAACGGCGCTATCCTAAACCCTCAAACATAAACCCAATGACCAAGTGTTGGGTTGGTCACCCTCGCAGCCAGAAAGTCCACTCAAGATTGCGGTACACATGCCAGGCTTGGTCCTGGTACATACTTGCCAATCCTAGATTTGCAGCTGCCAATTCAAGACACACAGAACTCCCGCGATCTTTCAAATTCCCCCACTACTCGAGTCTTGCCTGGAACTTCCCGGAATTCCCCAAACTGCAAAGAGTTGGGTCATTCAGACATGCCCGGTCGTTGCTACAGCAGCATTCATTGAACAGTCTATGTGTGCAATTCCAATCGCCACCTCAGAAGTTTCTCTGACCATGGTTGCACAATAAAAACCCTTTCACAATTCACACTTTGCCGAAGCCAACAAAAGTCACAAAATCTAATGCCTTAGCACGACAACTTCGTTGAATTCGCAACAGGGTGCTCCTCGGAACGTCTCCAGGCCTCCGGTACCGACCAAGTTGAGGTAACCTTATGGCCGAAAAGGGCTGCCACCCCAACAGTATATCCAAAGTTGTACGGAATGTGGATGAACAGCATCTCGTGTGCTGGTGGCTCATCCTTGCAGGAGTCATCCACACAAACGTCCGCTGCCAGGCCTGGCCACAAAGGGAGCAGTGTGAGAAGCGTCCGCATCATCCTGAAATCAAGTATTTGACGAGGCCTATGCGTGGATTGCCTGGGCCAGAAAACGCAAGTCGCTCGAATAAACAAACAGCAGGCGCATCATGCTGGGGCGGCACCTCTGCTAGGAAGGGGGGCGTCCCGGCTCACGACGAAAGACCACGGCCTACCGTGAGCGAGTGTTACATTGCTGCAAGCTGGGAGGGGGCCTCAGCTGCGAAGAGGTGGCGGACTTCTTTGAACCCTGGTCTCGAGTCTCACCAAGCAACCAAGCACTTTCAGCCTGCCGGAGATTGTACTACTCGAACGGCTATACACTTTACACTACGGGCCGGTTTCGTGCTCCGAGGAACGAAGCATCGACTCCGAAGCGCCAAAGGGGCAACACTACGAGACTGCGAGACAACCGACAGGGCCGAGATTGGAAGACCTGTGCACGGCATTGCCATGCACTGCCATCGCCGACCAGCAGAGTCGGGCTTGACACTCTCTTACGGAGCTGACGGCCAGAAACTGCAAGGCTTCAACGCACAAAACTTGAATTCTTCGTATTCTCTGCAGTCTGCGCTACAGCCGCAGAGGCAAGTGCTACACTATCAGAATATTCATTCTCTTGCCATGCATCATGTGGCGAACCTCGGCAGGCAGTGTTTGGAGGGTTCAGGACTTGGGTTCTTTGGCTTTAGGGGTAATGTAACTGTCTGCTGCAAGAAATGCCTTTGGTTCAAGAGCAAGACTACTTGGATCCCCTTGGGTCTGGGAGATGACTTCTCCGGCGTCCTAGTCCTGCTGCAAAGCAGGGCTAGCTCAAGGAGACTCCGTCCGTAACCGGCAGAAAAGATTCCCGAACACATGAAGCCCCGGCTCCCAAAGCCCTGCTCTTGATATAATGATTCTGCGACCATTCTGAGGTAGGTAGAAGAGGCTGCCGTAAGACCCAGGACCTTCTTCCTTGCTGACTGCATGACAAGCATTTTGCCCCGAGTTTGCAACGAAGTTAGAAGTGCAAACTAGTCACAAGGACGCATCGCCTCCCTACATTCTGCATTCGGCCTAGGAAGCCAGGCCCGTAAAGCTCTAAGAGCTGCTCGAACCCCCGCCCAGCTGCATGGTATTTCATAGGCTCAGGATATGTCGGAGCCAGACCAGGTCGAAGCCGTGGAGGGCGAAGAGCGCCGTAAGCCCTTCAAGCCGTCTGCCTCAAACTCTGTGTCCTTGCAAGGTGCAAATCGGAACCCGTGCGACCTGCTTTTCGTCCATTGGTAAAGCAAAGGGCCTGCTTAGGTTTCTGCAGCACAAGCTTCATGCGCTTCATCCTGTCAAATTATCCCGCCCAGCGAGTGCCCTGATCCAAGTCGGTGGACACTAAACAGCCCCACAGCCCCCAAGGTCAAGGAAAAACAAAACGGAATCCTCCGAAACCTCCAAGCTCCCACACTGCCGACTGCAGCCAAAGCTGCGTTGATGTCTTTACGCACGAAGATGTTGGGCAACTTCTCAGTGCTCCCAGGGCACATCCCGGTGCTTCTTTCGGAGGAACGGCGTGTCCTTGTCGACTGCCCAACTAGGAAGATCGCCACCAAAATCGTCAGCAGGAGGACGCTTGTGGCTGCGCTTGCCACGATCATCAACCTGGACCACTCACGGACACATGTTGCCCCATGCCGATAGCAGTCTTTGTGCAGTTACAGTGGTAACAATCCATGTGAAACTCCTTGACAGCAACCCAGCAACAGGTTGTGTCGCACGATCTGGGCATGTGTGCCGTGGCTGGCGAGCTTCGACCGGTCAAAGAGCCTGGGGTAGCTGTCTGGGTTCATCTCGGTGCTTACGTTGAGAAACCGAGCAATCTTCCCAATGGAGTCGCCGGCGCTGGCATCGAAGATCAGGAGCTGCTCCTCTGTTTTGGAACTCCAGCCCCCCCAAAACCCTGAACACTGGTCGAGCATCAGGCGTGTCATGTCGAAACCGTCAGAGGCCGCCCAGCTGCTGGGGGAACGGTGGAGATTACATGCTGCTCGTACAGCTTTCGGTTCCGGACGTGCCAAAAGTTCCTGGGACCAGGTAGGTGAAATTGTTAACAAAGTATATGGCAAACGTGCACCACTTGAGCGACACGGAATAACTCAAACTTACAGTGCATGATGTGGTCCTCCCAATTCAACAGATACGGGCTTGTAGTAGGGTTTGCATTGAAGATCTCGGAAACTAGAACTTGACCCAGCGGCCTCAACGAGCAGGATTACATTAGAGCGAGTCCTATGCAGCTTTCGAGAACCGTTCTTTGAAACACTCGTGTCCTGCTTGAAGAACGTCAGATTCTAGTTATCTCAGCAGACCTGGCTTGGACTAGCACCTTCGTTTCAAACAAGGCCTCTGACACGCTTGCAAATATTGCCACTCCTCCAACAATCACTGTTTTCACGTGTTAATTGCTCGTCGCAGAAGCACTTGTTGCTTGCACCGCCTTAGCAGCAATGTTGTTTGCCCTCACGGGGTGATGTCGCTTGCGCTGTCTCGTCTTGCTTCCCGCTCTGGCCTGCTTTTAAATTTTTTATTCCTAAGCGGTTTCGTCATGCTGCCTGATAAGGAAGAAATCGTTTCTTAGGTACTCGCAGTCTCCCAGAACAGAAAAACTTGTCAGCACCTTCACTGCTTGGCCAACACGGCCCGCGCGTGGGGTCTCTAACCGGGTAATGCACTTGAGTCCTTAAAGCATTTCTTTTTGAAGCACCTGGCTGCATTGATCGTGGTTATCGGGGTGTGTTAGTCCTTGCTCCGGCCTGACTCTGCACCGCCTGTACACCGACAAGACACGAACGAACGCCCCGCGAGACTCGCTCAGACTCGCTCCCCGCACGATTGCAAAATCTGAACGGAAACCCACTGCTCGAAGGGTCTTTCTCTAAGCCTAAAGCCGCCTAAAAGAACACCAAAGCCTCACCAAGGCACGGCTGCCAGGAACCGTACATCACCATGTCGGACAGGCGGAAGACCTCGGAGAGCTCGGGGAGCCGGTCGAGGTCCAGGCCCGAGGGCCTCACAGCGAGAGCCCCGACAGGGTCCATAGTTTATATGCAGGTTAGGGCTGGGGTCTAGGGCTGCTTGGATTCGCGGTGTAAGACGTAGGGCTGTTTGCAATGCTTCTTCGGCTGATTGTCGAGGATTTCGAGCACTCCGGGATTGTCAACGACATGTCGAACAGCCACTCACCAAGTAAACGTGAAGTTCTTATCGCCTGCATTTCGGGCATTGCTGTTCTTCGCTTTCTTTCGGTCTGTCAGGGATCACAGGACCTAAGGCGGGGCTAACCAAGCAGCTTCAGTTCTGCTTTCCTGCTCTTTTTGAGCTGAGTTGAAGCGTGGAGCTTTCCATTGACGACCAGGAGGGAACATGGTTACTGAAACGTGGTAAAGCACGTCCGTACCAAATCCTAAGTGCTTGCCAAGGGCTGAGGATGCATGTAGCTGCATGACTTGATGGAAGTTTGTAGAGCAGCCAACAAGCTGTCTACAAAGTTTTGAGTGGTTATCCTGAATTCGACTTCTTGGCGGAATCCTACCATAAATCGACAATGTTGTGGCCTGGATAACAGGCCTATGATGGCCTATGTGTTCACTATTAAAAACACACCTTCTCACTCGAAACATGCGCCATCAGTGTGATCCAGTTCCGATTGACGACGCTCACCCGGTGTTCGTGTATTACCTCTGACCTGCGTCATTGTACCCGAAGCTGTGTACATGGCGCGTGTTATTATTGAGACCTGACGCAACTTAAATTTGGCGAGGCATGCCTTCCCAGCAGGTGAAAGGAACGAAGCAGCGGGCCAAGGCGGAATGCTCGAGAGACGTGGGAGAGAAAGAAGAGCAGTGGATACCGAGTCCAGTGGTAGAGCCAGCACTGAGCCACGTAGTTCTCGTAGCTCGTAAACCACGACTCCCCTTCCCTCGTTGTGAGGATCACTTTGGCCTTCGGATAGGCCCGCCTCAAGTCGTCAAACATCGCGGGGACAACCGTATCGAGCAAAGCCCCTTTCTCTGGGATGTCCTCAAAGACCTTGTGCAAGTTGGGAACTTTGACCCTGCCGACATAGAAATGTGAGATAAACTCGAAGTAGCGTGTCATATAGCCAAGCCAGTGTGTTGTGTTGTACCCTAGCCCTTGCAGTGCTTGCTGCATTGAGCTTGTGCTGGTCCGCGACACGCCGGCAACAAGGACGTCCACATTTCCAGTACGATGATCTTTGCACGCGAGGTCGTCATCTTTCAGCTCCCAATCAGCGGGCTCAGTCTGCAAGGGGACGAACGTGCTCGAGGCAAGGGCGACAATCAGCACCAAAGCGACGACACTAGCAGTGCAAGGACTGCAACATGCTGGCAACGTCGTCATGGCTCGACAACCCTGCCCTACGCTCCTGTGCACGAGCTATTCACGCATTCAGCTACTCCTAAATTCGCGAATGTCATCTCCATGATGGTCCCCATCTCTTGAACCATCCACAGACATCGTTCTACACATGAACGCTTGTCCGCCTTGCTGCAGTACTCCTTCTTCCTGCGCAGACCATTTGTCGCGCCCTCTTGCTTGACCGCACTTTGTGCGCTGTGGGCCAAACTAATTACATCGAATTACGAGACTACCCCGCCTGTCCCGATTCGCGGTATGTTGGCGGGCACGGCCGGTTGAGACTTTTTGGGTGTCCTGCAGCTGTCCCTCCTGCCGTGTACCCAGTTTCACCAAGGGAGGCAGTTGGCACAGGGCTTTGCCAAAGAATGTAGTCTGGGCTAAGCACGTCGCACATGGCTGGGAGAGCGGCCTGGCGGAGAACTGCTACCATGTGAACATCGGCAAAGGCACGGAAGCACGACTCTGCTGTGCCAGCAAGGGCCGGCTAGAGATTGCGATTTGCAAGTTCCACCTGAGTTTTTGTCGACTGTGCAGCGATTCTGCACGTCCAGCTGTCAGATGGGAAAAGCGATCGAAGCTACGCGAAAAGGAATCTGCCTCTCCACTTGCATGACGCTGGGCGACACTGCTCCAGCTGCCACCTCAGGCATCGAGGCCAAGGTGGCGCACGCAATGATATAACATCCCCCAGTGTATCGCAGCCTCGAAGCTTCAAGCTGATCTTGCCTTCCAAAAGGCACCTCAGAAACAGCAAGGGAAAAGTCCCAGCTCAGGCCACCGATCAGCAGCAGCAGTACGAAGGACGCAGGAGCAGAAGTGCTTTTTTGCAGACGGCAGCTGAGCACCAAATGCAACAACATCAGAAGCCCCTTTCGCAAGCGGAAGGCCAATCAAACTTTAAAGGGTTCTCAGACGCACCGTCTGCTTTCATGCAGCATGTCGTTAAAAGGACAACCAGTCCCGGATCGCTTCCAAATCATGTCCACCATGGGACAGCAGCACAACGACCCAGCCTTCCAAGCATGTGGAAAGAATTGCGGTCCAGTAGCTGAAATCCTGGCAACTGCCGAAACTACACATGTCAGTGCGGCTCTGGGGTGACAGGGAGGAGCGGGCAAGCAAGACATAAAAGTGCTACAGTGTTACGCAGAGGCTCCATCTTCAGGACAAGGGCAATAAAATCCAGCAAGTTGAAGCCAATGAGCCGAAAAAGTGCAGCTTGGAGGAGCAGCAAGACCGAGATCTCGATCAGGAAGCCAAAACCATTCCCCACCAAAGCTGACCATAGCTCCACGTTATCAAACAGGTAGATGTACTCCCGGTTATCTCCAAGTACGTGCAGCATTGTCGCCAAAATCATGTATAGCAGCGGTACGAGCACTTCACAAAGTTCCACCAAGCCAAGAACCACAATACATCTGGTAAAGCCGGCCAGGAGGCGGACATCTGCCAGTGCAAGGTCTGCTTCTTGAAGACTGTTTCGAGTGTGGAGCTGAAAGACGGCGAAAATGTCACGGAGCCTATCGCGGACGTCCAGCATCAAGGACCACTTCCGTCGACGCAGAGCCAGCAGCTCAGATGGAGTGACCAGTAACGATCCCAAAGTGGTGCAGTCGCAAGAGGTGCATGTGTGCGTGTCGTTTTGGCCCATGTGCTCAATCTCAACGATGGCGAGCAGATGGTAGCACATTTTCAGAAAGATCGCCGCTGCCTTTGCTGCATCCTGGGCAAGCATCAGTGCAAGCACCGTCGCAGACTTGGCGGTGGAAAGCAGTGCAGCTGTGTAGAGAAATGACACGAAAAGAATCATGACCTTGATTTCGTACAAGAGGTAGACCGGCAGCCCCAACCACAGGCCAATCCACTCCATGATGACTGCTGATACGGCGAGCAAGCCGTTCAATGCGAAGCTGCCTAGCACTTGCAACACCTCCGTGACTTCTGGGAACACGGCTAACCAAAGCATGAACAACATGCTTTGCAGAGGATAGGCTATGAAGCCGAAAGTAACATACATCCACCACCTGCGAACTTCCGTAGATAAGAGATCCGGCGGCACGGAGAGGCGGGCAGCAATGAGAGCAACTGTTTGTGCGGGGACCGCAGCCGTGAGAATGAGGTAAGGTAGCGGAAAAAGGCCAAAAGCCCCGGAGATGGTTTGGATGGCGATGCAGGCGACTGGGCCAACCACAGGGAGCCACAGGCTCTTGGAGCTCATCCGAGTCCGTTCGGATGGCGAAATGCTGCGAAAAAGCAGGAGAACCCCAGAGCGACTGACCACATACATCATGGAGGGAACAGCGACGAAGTTGAATCGCCAATTCTCCCAGAAACCTGCTTCCGGTGGTGCAAAAGGTATCATTAAGGACCAAAACGACAATGTAGACACCAGTAGGAGGAGGCCAAACAGCACCACCAATATCCTGATGGTACGACCAGCTGCGCCCGATCCGTCCTCGCAACAATCTTCCAAGTAGAGCTGCATCACACACTCGACTCCATCCGTAAATGGCACTCTGTCTAAAGCAGACTTCGTAGTATCCATGCTTACCCGCGCAACAGTAAAGGAACCTCTGCGCTTGCTGCCCTGACTATACTTGCTTCGTTTCTCCGTCACATCTGAGTCTCCCCTGGAAGAGCCATCAGACCTGCGTGACCTTTGCGAACTGTACGAAGGCCTGCGTTGGAGACGATCTTGTTCACACTCACGGTCCTGAGACACTGAGGAGCTCTGCGGGCAGGCTGGATCCTCCTCAGGGTCGGACACTTCCGTTTTCGGAAAAGAGCCAGGAAGTTGAAGATTTCCTGCTGGACTGTGGTCGCGATCGTCGACTGGAGGCGTCTGAGGAGGTTGGTCACGTGGCTCGGTCACGTCGACTGCGTCGACGGCTCGTCTCGGTGGCGTGATGACAATCTGCGGGCGCACGACGTGGTCTGGCCCAAGCGACTTGCTTGACAATGTCGCTGGCAAAATCGAGGAGAACTCACACGACCTTGCCATAGAAACCGCGTGTGCAAAGGAAACGGCATCATGTCATGGCTCTCTGACCCGCTCGGATTGTCCGAATGCGGGCTTAAGCCTCACAACAGTAACCAAGCAAATATTGCAAGTATTGCATTCCAACGAACCGCTACATCTTGCATTGCACCTGGCCACGTGATGCCATGTGTTAGGCGTCTCCTGGCTTTTCCCAGGAATGAACCCACAGCTCAACAAACATGAAGGTTCGTAACCCCGGCTCAAGCCTTCAGTGCCAAGTTCACGGAATTGCCAGCCGGATAAACACATCCTCTGGGCCTGTGACCTTGGAACTACCAGGCAACAGGCAATGTCTACTAGCCTACAACACGAATGTCCCGCGAAGAATGTGTTCGTTGACATGGAGGGTCCCGATCCCCACGACGACGACAACAGGACGACTGCATGTGCGTCTGGGTGACGATGCTGGACTCCTGCCTCGTTCGATGCTGGCAGCTTCGGCATGCACGATCCACGACATGCAACCACATTGTGTGGCTCTCACAGAGTAAGAACATACCGTGACCTGACCCAAAAGCCTGGATCTTCACTTTCAGCCAAGCTTCTGCATGCAGGGGACGTACATGGCACACTCAACCAAGCCTCGATCCCACACAGCTGCATTATTTCAGAGCTTTAGCTTCGGCGGACGATGATTTTGCCAGGTGCCGTGCATGCCGTTCAACCACTTGTGGGCTGTGTCGAAAGCTGCCGCTGTTGCATGGTAACCCCTGAACTGGAAATATTGATAATGCATGATCTGCTACTGTTGCAACATACCGAAACAACCTACAATGCTGGCCGACATCCTTGATAACGATTAATAAATATTATATTCGATGTAGTTCCTGACCAACTTGTATTCTAATGACCTAGGCCTAAGCAATTCAATACTGATCTTGTTAGATTTGTCAGTCGCGGCTGATACAGGCTTCGAACAAGTATTTGAGCTGGTCTAGCAGGCACTTCTTTACTGCCTCGTTGACCACGTTGTAGCCTGTTGTCCTGCACAACTGGGCTTCACAGAAACGGCTGCAGCGAAGCAACAGCAGAAATAGCAGCACAACACGAACAATCACAGCAGCTCAATCAGTGGGAGGGGGGAGATTGGAAGACTCCGACCGTGTTTCAACAAACCCTTACCATGGCGACAGCCCTCCCGCTCTGCTGCGGGGTCCTTAAGATGAGGTCTCGGATCATTTGCTGGTCTGCCTGGGATGATGCCTTCGCTGAGCGCGCATCGATAGCCCCGAACTCTTTTCGTAGGTTCCTCAGGCCACCCGCAGTCTCCATCTTCTGCCGGAACAGGTCTTCTGCATGCTCTGGGAGGATGATGGTCATGGGGAACTTGTTGTCAATGCATACATATGTCTCAAAGATGCACCAAGCCCTGGTGGCATGCTGGAGCAATTGCAGAAACGGTCTAAACTGACGGATGTGGGCTTGGCAACGCAAGACGTCTTCATCGTCTTCGAAGACTTGTTAAACTACGCCTAGCTGTGACGTGCGGACAAGCAGCACGTATGTTCTTCATGCATGGTCGGAACAAGCTTTAAACACATGAGCTCTGATGAGTTTGGAGCCAGCCTCGTGATGTATGCTGGCCTTTCGAAACTATCCAGCAAGATGAGCATCCGACCAGCTTTGGCCAGGTTGCTCTCGAAGGCTTCCTTGAGCTCATCTGGCCCAGTGTCGGTGGCAGACTCAAGAATACGATACTGGTTGTTGCAGAAGAAACAAATCCAAAGGAACACCTCGCTCGTCACAAGCTCGTGCCTCTTCGTCCAGCTGCTAATGGCGCTCACAAAGTCTTGGAGCTTGTATGCCCAGCACCATGACAAGAAATGAGTCACTTTGCCCCTGTGCCTCGCATCCACAGCGTCAACGATGCTACATCCTCGTTTGCCATCTCGCGGACAAACCTTCCCGTGTCCCAGTCCTCAGCCCACAGCCAGGTCTGCGAACGATGCGTGGCTAGCAAGTCTGGGCTTCACATGAAAGAACAGCATCCATGCTGCATGTCGGTGTCCAAGAACTGCTCCTGCCAGCTACATCCTTGCATCCACGAAGACCCCCAAGTTTTAGCATCCTTTCGTCTCTTGCCAAGTGCATGAGACGAACAAACGAACTACTGAGTGGGGGCCACTGCCGTGACGGGTTCCTCGTCGTTGATGGCCAGTATCGCCATGCTGTGGTCGTAGTGGCTTTGGAACGCTTTGTGCGGGCTTTCAATGTGACCAACAAGGAGCCCTCATCGATCACGTGGCCCCAACAGCAACAGAATGTATACTTCCGCCCTTTTTCTGCTTAGCCGCAACGGAACTCCTAAAAGCGCACGTGTTGCGCGCGTTGTGGTGACGTTGTCCGTTTCCTACGATTGCAGCCCTAGCGCGAGTCCCAACACTAGGTTAGCCGACCGCTTCCTAGTGGTTGCTGCATGGCATGGCCAGTGGACGCCAGTGGAATTTGTGAATGCATCTTGCGGACGAACCGCAAGGATTGTAGGACACGACCCGATGTAAAACCCGGACGGGGTAGACTTGACGGGATTAGCCGATTAGCCGGCTTCTGCACTCATAAGTTCGACTCAAGCTCCCCAAACCTGGTTGGATTAGCAGCAAAGGGTCGGATTATGCGCAAAGATTCCGACACAGGATGCTTCTGAGCGCCTGCAACAGCGCATGCGATGGCACCGCCTCGGCCTGTAATGGCCTCAAGCCTCTCAATCGATCCCTCTCTCGTCCCCTTTCGAGCCTTTAAAGCCTTCCGCAGCCTCGGTACTAGCATGTTCTAGTATCTTTCCTTTGGGCTTGAGCCTTCGAGGCTCCTTTCAGCGAAGGGTCCGGCGAACCACGCTAGGAAGTACTGTGTGGTCTATCTAGAAACCCTTCGATTCTCGCACTGACGCTGAGTCGGGTGCCGGTGGGCCCCGCTGCAAGGACTTTGGCCATATCATAAAAGTTTGGATTCTGCAGACCAGTGCACACCTGCGCCAACTCCGGGAAGACGTTGAGTAGGTAGTAGCTGCAAATGCCCAAAACAGCATTTTCCGGCGTGTCCACAGGCTGCGGCTCATGTGCAATAATGGGGTAAAAGTATCTCTCGAACTCTTCAAAGGAGATTCTGTTGTCACCATCCCGATCTAAGCTTTGGAAAACTGCCTCGGCAGTCTCTGGTGGCATATTTGCCAGATAGGGATTCAGCTCTTGGCGTGTAATGAAGCCACTCCTGTCTTTGTCTATCGAGTTGAAGGCACGCCGTGCAGCAGAATCCTTGACCGACGGTGGTGACTCAGCACGGGATGGTGTTCCTGCCGGTGCAGATCGAATCGGCTTCTGCTGGCCGTAAACAGGTATCGCTGGTGCGTATTTAGGTTGAGCTCGAGGAGATTCGGAGGACACTCCAATACGTCTTCCATGCACTTCATAGTCTTCATGCTTGCCACGAGTGTCCAGGTTTCTGAAGAGCAGCACGCCGAGCAACAAGACAGCCACTGCGGCCAACACGCAGCCGATGATGAGCAGGGGGGGTGCATAGTCGTTCTCTTGCACTAAACCTGGCATCGTTTGTGTTGCAGCTACTAAAACGAACTGAACACAACAAACGGCTCAGACTTTGAACCCTGCCGCCAGGCTGTAAGCGAGCACCCGAGCCTACAATCAGCCCAAGTTCAGAACCACCCAACATGGCAGGTCTTACCGATCGATTTAGCTGGTTGGCTTCACGGCAACAAATTGAAGTGTGTCTAGATTTGAAGCGGAACTCTGCTTCGAGCCATCTAATCTAACCAGTGCCAGAAACTAGGCTCTCAGAGCTGCAACCCGAGAAAGCAATCTGCCAAGATGCGGCGCTCTGGAGCATAAGTCCCAGCGTCGGCTTGAGCCTCATGTCCAATTTCAATCTTTACTATCCACAGGTAGGCTGTTGACCAGTGGGGGTTCACCAGTCACTCAGAAGTGCAATGCAAACACAGCCAAAGCAAGTACTGATGCGACTGACGTGCAGGTGTTCCATCATCAGTCAGAATGGTCTACGGTCTGCGGTTGTCGACAGGAACCCTGCAGCTAGGAGCTTTGCGGCAGACCCCGCATCTCCCAAGTAGCACCGAAACAGCCCGAAACCATTTCTTACCAGTAGGTCTTATGAGTCTTATGCTTTCAGGCACACCGCGAGGGAAAGACCCGGATAGACCGTGAGCCGAACGCTGGAAATGAGAACGCCCTGACTGCACGATCAAGGACAGCAGCCATGTCGTTAATCCACTGTGAGACAAAACCGAAATCCAAATACGTTCACATTTTGTACACGATGTCACAAGACTCAAGCTAATAGGAAGCTTGGCATCAAACCTCTTGCAGAACCTCGCATTTCGCTATCTTTGCTTGGGCCATTTGCAATCTTGAGCGGCGGTGGCCAGGGTGGGAAAGGGCCAATGAACACAGCTTGCTCGTTCGAGATGAGGAAGGGCAGGCATTGACACTTCAACAGGTTTCAAGCAACAACCCACACAATTCCAGCACATCCGGGCGAGCCAAGCAGCACTGTAAGCTACCTCATCGCTTGCCCGAAGCAGGTGGAGAGGCATCGCAGCCCACGACATGCAGAAGGACGTTCCTCACTACACCGCTCTTGGCAGAGAACGCCTGCAGATCTGAGTCTCGAGCAAGGTTCAGTTGCCTGTTCCGTGCTGAAATTTGAACTGCCTCTTAACAAGACTTCATTCGGGACTCCCACGAGCTTCTGCGTAGCTTATGAGCGAGTCGGGAGACTGCGAGCGGGCCTTCAACAGCCACCATGCCACACACCTTCTATAAGGTCTGTCTGTGGTGGTGCCCACCTTTCAGCCAGTGCCTTGTGGAGGGCCGGTGATCCAGGATCATACAAGAATAAAGTGCATGGCTCAGCATCTCGGACATGCAGCCGAAGCCACGCAAAACAGAAGTGAAAAGCACGGGTAAGAATGGTGACAGTAGCAGTCAAGGTAGCGCTTCAAGAAATGTGAGCTCAGTTCATGTACTGTTTGTATTGTACGGGTAAGACATGAGAAGAACAACCCTGAGAGAAGCTCTCTACGTTGCCTGCATATCTCGAAACTTCTCTCCAGGGCATCATCCAGCAACCCCAGCCCGTTCCACTTGTTTGTTGAATGCTGACCGGCGCGTTTGTCTTCGCTTGTTGGTGAGGTTTCGACGCTATCCGTCTCAAGGAGCTTACGACAGGTGACTGGGAAACGGGCAGGCGAGCAGAAGCCGTCTTGGCCTGCGCATGAAAGACGCAATGCCCCAAATCCGACGCCCCTCCGTTTCTCTTGCCCAGCTTCGCTCATGACCTTCCCGCATCCAATTAATGGCTGCTGCCCACTCACTTTGCCTTGCCAGCCTCTTTCCCAACGGCAAGAAGATGCCTCGCCTGGCAACCACACGATCACACAGTTCTTTTTCATTATGGGAAGGATCTGAGCACGTAGCTGAATGGTTTCCCTGTTTAACGGATAGGGGTCTGGGGACTAGGAGAATCTTAGCCTAAGCACAGTTTTGCACCAGGTGTGTCCACGGGGATGGTGTGTGTCGGGGTCACGAAAAAGTCTGCCGCCACTTTTAGACTTGTAGCTTGACCTCGCGGCTCAAAAGTGTCAACCTGCAGTCACACAGGGTCGGGGGGTCGACTCGCAAAGCGTGGAACTGTCGTTACTTGTCGGCTGACTGTTTGCGCCGCGAGCGTCGCAAGAATGCTATAGAATGCTAACGGTCACGGGGAAGGTGCGTGTCCGGATCTTGAAACCGGGAGCTGTCGTCGAGCCGTCGCCGTTCGGCTTGCCTCTTGTCCTCGCGTCTCAAAGTGTTAACGGTCACAGGGATCGGGTGTTGGAACTGTCGTCTCTCTTGGACATAAAGGACTGGAGAGGGAAGGACACAGAGAGAAGCAAAACAAGGACACAGGGGCTACCTCCTTTCCAGCAGCAAGCTTCGAGGTTTGCTTTTGGACGATTTGGGAGTGAATCGACGACACTCTCCGGCCTAGGGCAATATGCTTTACGTGTGCGTAACATGTGATAGAGGAGCGAGCAGAGAGGGCTAAGCCGAACCGATGGCGAGAGGAGGCGCCTTATCGCCGGACCGTGTCACAACGACTTGCTTGCAAAGCTCAAACAGCGAAAGCCCACACCACATCCATAGATGCAAATGCTGATGGATCAGGAACACCGCTCATAATTGCAAAACGGACAATATGCCGATGTCGATCCTCAGGCCACTGAAGGGTAGGAACATGAATGTGGGATAGTGTGGATTTTACGAGGCTGCATTCCCTCTCTACATGTTTGCAGCTGGTTTGCTTTTCAGTCATGCGGCGCAACTGTGGGCCTCTTCACCTGCGGACTGGAAGTCAAAGTGCGGAGGCCTCTAGCCTCATGTCATTTGCGAAGCACACACGACCAGGTCAAACCCAGTGTCACAAAAGCCTCATGGCAGCGGAGGATGTGGAGGTACCCCCAACAAGCGAGCAACGCAAGCTAGACCCAAGAAGGAGCTAAAGCCGATGTGACAAATTCTAAGGACAAATACATGTTCGAAGGGTTGTCACACTGCCGCGGCTACAACAGCTCTGAGTAGCCTCGAGCTGTCACTGCAGCAGAAGTCGGCTAGTGGGATGCGACCCTACGGGCATCAAGATGTCAACAACTGAGTCAACAACAGTCAGTTCGAAGTCACATTGTGTCAAGCGCATTGCTACACGCAGTATTGCAGTACGGGGGCGTCCGGACCACCCATGCATTGCAGCTGCCGGAGAGCAGGTCGCACTCCTCTATTGTTGGGTTGACCTCAACCACAAGGTCTGTCGATAACGGTGCAAGTTTGGAAACTTCCGGTCAAATGGTGATTGACCTCTCTGGACATTCAAAAAAATGTTCGAGCTTCTTCCCGACTACTTTTCTGAAACAAGCGCTGTTCGATTCGCTTGGTGAGGGAAATAGGCTCTTCGTTCTGGCGGAACCTCCGTACCACGCGGCCCAGGAAGGTCTCGGAAAGCTTCGTGAACACCCTTCCTCTCGAGGCTGGTCCCAGGGCACATGTACCGACCTCCCTGTGCACGAAACACCGGCGTTGGATCGAGAAGGATTGGAGGGGCTATGGGGATTGAGGAACGACTCACGGGTTGGGGTGGGGGCCCAACGCAACCTCCCGCACTCACCTCGCTGGCAAATTAAGGGCTTTCGGCGGATGTCAGGTTTCAGAGCTGCGCAGGATTCAGGCTCAACGTTGATCAAAACATCATTCCACGCCATCGCTATGTAGTCCGTACTGTACCCAGCACGGGCACTGAGTGCGCGCGAGGCTCCTAATTTCTACAAGACAATAATACTCATGATGTCGCGTGGAACAAAACAATTGTGACCATCCGAGTGTCTGCAGTGGGCTGGGGTCTGCAAAAGCACAGAACAATGCCTCAGCAGTCAGTGGAAATGCAAAAAAAAAGCCTCTAGACATCTCTAGATATCCCTAGACATGACCAATTGTTCGGGATGAGAGGCTGACAGCTGCTTCAAAGTCCACGCGCGGGTTCATCAGCTTTGTTGTTTCCGCAGCGCCCAGCTGACATGACATCGAGATGAGAGGTGCCAGGTGCAAACATGTCAAGCTTGAAGAGGCATTCTGCTGCTGAGCCGCCGAAAGTACCAACTGATTCAGCGTCCACAGCGCTGCATCGCGAACGATAGAGTGTGGGCTGTGGCAGTGCCCCAGGATTTCACTCAAGAAGTTGAGGAGAAGGTTAGGGCTCCAAGAGACAAGGAAGGCAAAGTCCTGACGACCCATGTGACACCTAAGCTCACATCGTGTTCAGCTCTTCGTGTACAATTGCAGCCGTAGGTCGCGTCATGCTGTGTGATAAATTGATCATGGTACTGGTAGAGGTGCCGAGTCACAAGGATCGTTGCTCCATCGATTCAAGAAACGGTCTGGCGTAAGAAGAATTCGACCATCTTGGCTGCCAGCGATTCGTCCAAATCGCCTGAGCTTCTATATCTTCTATGGTCGATTCTTATTGCGACCGAACTGGAGCTCAGGGCTGAGTTGAGTAATGTGAGGGTACAAGTACGGTACACGCATTGGGCTTATGTCAGCCCAGCCGGCGTGAAGTCACCGTAACCCTGTGGCACACCACATGTCAAAGCAGTCCCCCCCACCCCCTGCGTGGGCAAAAATACCATAGGCCAAACTTACCGCGCTCAGCTCCTGCGCCGTTTTGAGAAAACGAACGCTCAAAAAGCCATGTGCCCTTGGGCCTTGGGGTTTGCGACAATTCCAGGCTCGAGCCCAGAAGGGGGGGCGGGGATCCGGGAATCATCAGAGTTTTATGACGTTTTGGCTGGAAAGCTGCCTTGCCAAGCCTCAAGCCTTCAACAATCGCCTGAGATCCGGGCTAGGCGACACTCTGACTCCATGCACGCAGTTATGTTAACTGCAATGGAAAACAATTCTAAATTCCTTTCTGGGATTACAATGATTACAAAAAGGCGGATTCCATTCGCGGACTTTCCCAAAACTTTCGCGGGCCTATGTAACAAGATGGGCCGACAACTTGAGGTATCAACTTGGATACTCATACTAAGCATTGTTGACGTACTCCTCTGCGCTAACCCCGTAATCCCTGCTTCAGACTTAACTAGGATTTAGGGCTTAGGGTTTAGGCTTATGGGGGGGCTGAATTAGGTTTGATGTTTTGGGTGAAGTGTGGAAACGACCATATAGCCCTTCCCGAGCTAATGCCATCCCAACGCATGCTCATGCGATATTTAGTTCGTTTGAGAAAGCTGATGAAGGCGGCACCACTCCTGAAGAGGACTAAATTCATGGAAAGAAATTGGCTTTGTATGCCAAACCCCCAGACCTAAACCTTAAAACCCTAAGTCCCTAAACTCTACGCCCGCCACCCACGCACGTACGCACGCATGCACGCCACGCACGGCACGGCACGGCACGGCACGGCACGGCACGCACGCCACGCACGCCACGCCACGCCCGCCCGCCCGCCCGCCCGCCCGCACACACCTCACACACCCACACCTCTACACACACCCACCCACCCACCCACCCACCCACCCACCCCCACCCCCCCCCACCCACCCCCACCCCCCACCCCCCCACCCCCCACCCCTCACCCCCCCGCCACCCCACCACCCACCCGCCACCCACCACCCCACCTGCGCCAACACCGCGCACCTCCTGCGCGCAGGGGCACACCGTGCGCACCCCATACGAACACGCGTCTGCAAACGCGCGCGCGCACGCTGTGCGCACTTCCTTCACGAACACGAGCGCGTGCGCGCGCACTGTGCGCACCCCATCTGCGAACTCGCGCGCGCACCCCCTCCGCACGCCCTCCGCGCACACCTGGCGCACGCCCTCTGCGAACGGCGGTGCGCGCGCCCTGTGGGAACGCGCGCGCACGCGCACCCTGCGCACAACCTCGGCGAACGCGCGCACACGCTCGCCGTGCGCACGCCCTCTGCCAAAACGCGTCTGCGCGCACCGCGCGCACACTTTCTGCGAGCACGCGCGCACGCGCGCTCCCCTTTTGCGCCTGCAAAAGGGGCGGTGCGCGCTCGTGCGCCTCTGCAAACACACCTGCGCGCGCGCGCACTGCGCGGAGACGGCATGCGCAGGGCGCGCGCGCGCGCGCCTTCGCAGAGCGCGGGCACAGGGTGCGCGCGCAGGCGTGTTGGCAGAGGGCGCGTGCACGGTGCGCGCGTGCGCTCGCAGAGGGAATGCGCAGGGCGTGCGCGGAAGGGTGCGCGCGCGGCCGACCTCCTCCATCTGCCTTCCATTTAATAAGCCACGGATAAGCGGTCAATGGGGACCGATGTTGTTGGTGGGAGTGTTGAGTAGAGACCTTCTCCATTTGCCTTCTATTTAAGGCAGGGATAGGCGGTCAATGGGGACCCAGTGTGCGCTTGCACCGGGGGGGGGGCCCAGGCAACCAATACAGGGGATGGGGACCCAGTATGCGCTTGCACCTTGTTGTTGTTGTTGTTGTTTTGAGCTGCCCGGAAGTCTCGGAGTGCCTCCAGGGGGAAGGTCTTGGAGATGCTGCAGGAGATGAAGACGCAAGGCGAGAAGGAGCGGGTCCTCAAAAAAGAGCAGCGGGTCCAGGGTCCAGCAGAAAAAAGCTTGGGATGGAAATTCTGCGGTTCCCAGGACAAGCAGGACGAGGAAGTTCAATATGCCGCATACAAGCACCTTGGCAGAGTCGCGGTCCTTTGACTCTTTCCTCTCTTTCCGGTTTGGCATTTGGACTTGTTGACACGCTGTGCCCAATGAACGACAGCTGAAGGCAGTTCTGCGAAGTCACCGAGAGAGAAACGCAGCGCTCGATCGAAGATGGGACCGAGAAGATAGAGGCTCTTGTTGTGGGCTCCTGTGCCAATGTGCAAGAATACGCATGCGATTGCACACAGGTCCTCACCGCAGAAGTGGAGAAGAGTGGATCGGATGCCACCAGGCCACAAAGATGCCGCTGCTTTCCTCAGAGCCATCGGAAGCCTCATCTTCTCTCCGTAGGCTTGGTGAAGAAGTCGCAGCTCATGTTGCAGACATAGAGGGCGCGAAAGCAGAAAAGGAGGACGCCTCATAACCTGAAACCCTAAAGACCCCAAACCCGACTGTACTTAAGCTCCTGGAACCCGAAAGTCCCAAGGCCCTAGGACCCTGAAGCATTGAAGCCCGAAGGCCCTATATCCCACGTGTAATCTGGCACCTGAACTCCAGGAGGCTGCGAAGATGCGGGAGACAGAGCGGAAGGACTTCCAAGCGATGTTCCAGGAGAGGTTAGCCTAAAACGTCCCCCTTTAATCCCGAGCCACGACAGCACCACAGCCCCAGATCTCTAAAACCGTAGAGAGCCAAGCGCCCCGAAAGTCCTGAGGCCTCGAACCCGGGGCCGACCCTAAAGCCAGGACCTGTCGGAGTCGATCGACGCCATCGGCAGAGCAACGAAAGAGCTGAAGTCGGGGAAAGCTCAGGACGGCCAGAGAGGGGGAGCGGAAGTGAGCGGCAGCCCTTCTGTTGCTTTGAAAGGAGGGCTCCCTCATTCAGCTAAATGCCTTGAAGCTGCCGGAGAAGGCCAGCAAAGGCTTGAATTCCCTCCTCTCCGAGGGCTTCGAGGACAGCTTCTTCTGTTATTCTGCGGCTTATCTCTTATAGCACATCATCGTCAATATTCAAATTGGAATATATAACCCTGAATTCACGGTATATGATATATGACACAGACTGTACAGCATATAGTATGCGCATTATATGTAGTCACGGTTAGTATTTAACACAATATATACGCAATAATTTTGTACTGCACTTACTCTGTATCGTTTAATATATAATATTATATATAGCACTCGATCTGTATTCATATATATATATATACACATACAGCATATATCTGTATATGTATATACGACATTTAAACATGCACTGCACAGTAGGTAATATGCAATATATATATATATCTATATACATAATGTTTAAAATACCCCATATAATCTATTACATACAATTTATAGCATTTAATATACAGATTACATAACATGTAAACTGCATTTTTGAGCATATGAGTATTATTCCAACCATAATGTGTGTGCATATACATATATACACGCAATATATATATATATACATAAAGATACAGATATAGATATAGAGATATAGATAGTGTATATATATAGATAGATAGATAGATAGATAGATAGATAGATAGAGTCTATATTACATAGTACATAGAATAAAGTATATATTTGTACAATACATAGCATACAGTTTATAGTTGAAAGTACAAGGTGTGCAGTATATAGTATATAGTATGCAGTATACTGTATTTCTTATATACCCTGTAGTATATATCTACACATAATATACATCTATATATGTATATATATACAAACATACACGCAGCATATGCATCTACACAATTACATGTAAGTATAACAGAAACATAACACGCATATAATGTCTCATTATAACATACACGCACACGTACCTGTATGAGGAATAGACATGTACAGATGGGTAGATGTTTACGACATACACGGACATAGTTTCACTTGCATGTGCATCTATTTCACACATGTATAAATGCTGTGCATGGATGTTTTCATGTACTTTGGCCTGCGTACTTATGAGCGACTGCTGGCTGTCTCCCTCTAATTCTGTCTGCCTGCCACCTGTCTGCCTGTTTGCCTGTCTGTCTATGTGTATATGCTATGTATGTGCGATTGGCTATCTCAGCGAAGCATACATAAAGATAAGTATACATACACATGTTTGTTTATTACCTACCTGACCTACCTACCTACCTACCTACCTACCTACCTACCTACCTACCTACCTACCTACCTACCTACCTCCCTGCCTGCCTGCCTACCTGCCTGCCTGCCTGCCTGCCTTCTTGCCTGCCTGCCTACCTACCTGTCTATGCATCTGTCTATCTAAAAGTATGTAAAGGTAAATGTAAACTTAAATATACATGTAAATGTAAATGCAAATATACATGTAAACATCAAAATGCTTTTGCTCAAGTCTGTGGTTATAGATATAAATATATGCAAATCCATTAGGTTTGGCAGGTGCAGGTGTGGCTTGGTATGCATGTACATACTTGAGTTCGCCTGAGCTTGCGGCCCAAGGGCCCACAGGCTGGCAGGATCTTTCATGGGTTTGCATGCCTTTTCACTAGCATCACATCCCTCACGGTGCCAGCTCGTGCCATGCGCATTCATTACATTAAGGCTTTGCTGGCCCAGACTTTTGACATGCGAGCTATCTGCTGGCATCAGGGATACGGTGCACCCTCAAGTATCACTGTGAGCCTAGAACATCGAAGCACAAAAGTGCGAAGTATCCAACATGCATAGATATAGCTATAGCTATGATACAGAGATAGATATCTACATAAATGTACATACATGCGGGAGTATAAGCATAAGTTTAAGTGTACAGTGGAAGTATAGATTTGCCTACAAGTAGAATCATATTAGATATTGTGTGTATAAGCATAAGGATATAAATCAAACCACACAAAGATAGATATACATCTAAATAGAAATAAAACTAGACATGTAGATGTAAATACAAATATAAACATGAATATAAATGTAAGTAGAAATGCAAAAAAAGGAAAACAGCGAGGCTTTGCTGTTGTCCTCTGGTCGCAAAAGTGGCCAGAAGGTGCAAAAAGGCAAGGGTTCGAACAACTACATCTGACACCTTAGGAAAGGCTTCAACCCTCTGGTTTCGAGAGTCGTTTGGGGGAGCTTTGAAGGTGAAGCCGCTGCTTGTCGCTTGTCGCTTGTCTCAAGTCTCGGTGCTCTGATTCCATAGCCGTGAACCCTGTTCCATGTCCAGAGTGCTAGACATGAGTTGCATGCTGGTACTTATCTCTCAGGCAACCATCCCATTTTTGTCTCAAAATCGGACACTCGCTGGCAAACCTGCAGGATAGCCTCTTGAGTGACTTGCAAGCACCGGATCAGTTCAAGTCTGGAGGACACCTGGCTTGCATCGAGTGTCATGTTAGTCAGGCGCGACCTGTACAGAAGCGAGATATGCGAGGTATCATCAAGATGCTCGAGAAGCTGGAAGACCAGTTTGTGGACGAACGTCTGCAGCTCGAGAAGGCGGGCTATCAGTTAAGCACCGATCGTGCAAGCTCAGTGCCACATATACGGTTGACCCAAAGTTTGTTAGTTTCCAGGGAAACAAACCCTCCGCCATCGAGTTAGTTTCCGAGCGAGAA